AGGGGTACATGTTGTGTTATAAGTTGGAAGATTATGGATTGATCTCCCCTCCTCAACTCATTGATTGGATCTTTGACCAGTGGTTTATTCGAAAAGTTTTTATCTAAATTTAAGACTTTAGTTAGAAGTTTGATAAGTGGCCATTGACAAGCCTGCATTACTAAAATGGACAAAGCATACAGGTCAATTTGAAATAGTGTGGTGTGTTGTTGTAGTAAGCGTTTTACGGCACTTGCAAAACAATAAGGATAAGGTTATAAAAGTGCCGAAGATTAGAGGTGTCTAAAGAGAGTAACAATCAGAAAAAGGAGGAAAGTTAAGGACGATAGACGTTTGATAGAAAAGAAGTAAGAAACCGCACTGGAGCACCCGCCAACCACCCACAAAATAATAGTGTGTACCAAGCATCGCTTAAACTAGGGGGTGTATTAAACACCACTTTAACTTGGGGTGATGGGAGTAGTCGAGTCTTATCAAATTCTCAAGTATTCAGCCTCTGTGGTACTAGTTCAAGTAGTTTTTAAACATACAAGCACTTGCTTAAACATCCAAGCACTTGCTCCAGTCTAAAAACTGCCGTGTACTCAAGTAATTACAATATGGGTTTTTGGCAATCTCTTCAAACAAGCTTCCAAATGCCATTTTCAACCCTCTAAAAGCACTAAATTTCAATTTTGAACCCCCACCGGGACGCAGACCCCTGGCAGAATTTCCCTTACTTCTCAGCTGCTCTTCCCTTACTTCTCAGCTGCAGCTGGTGGAAGTACTGCATAGACCAGTAATAAGTACTATTTAACAAGTACGACTCTCAAAGGCACTTTTTCAAACAAAAAAACAATCAATGGAACTGAACTGGAAAAGGGTAAAAAATTGTTTAAATTAAAAGCAGAACAGTTGCCAAAATATCAAAATTAAGAAACACCTGTCACCTGTTATTTATTTGTTGAAACAGTAGAAAGGATCCAAAACAAAAGTTTAATCCAAAGACAAAACACTGAAACATTTTAAGGACATGTCGTCCCTACAAATGCGCTTTATTAGTATTTGGACTTCCTTTCCCAACTTTCTTCGTAAACATCACGAATATTCTTTTTCTTAAGCAGTCCGTCCATCCATACTGACAGCATACATGTGTCTTGTTCATTTGACCATAAATCATGATAAATTCCTCTCCACTGGACCATAACCCTAATGAACACACTTCTTGATTGACTATATCGAGCGCAGGTCAAAGCTTTTATCTAGGCCTAATCAGCCTTTAGTTTGAAGTTTGATAAGTGGACACATCTTACCTAAGCATATCACCACTTTACTTGGGTGGTAGACATAGATTGCCCAAGTACTACTTCTCTCCCTTCAATTTTAATTTCCTCATGTACTCACTCTAAAGGAGAGACATCGTTTGTTTGTTTGTTAGAGTACAGAGAAGCACATCGACACAATAATAGTCATTAGGTGCAGGAAAAAAGCAAGACAGACAGACAGGCAGAAACAGCAGAGGGGGAAGTAAAGAAATGGGACCAACCAATGGTGTCCTTCAACCACCAGCGAGAAATCATCAATACATTTGAAATCAAGGAAGGTGTCAGGATGAGTGTTATTACTATACAAATGCCAGATGGATTATTCTTTGTAGTTGGGAAATTTTAAAG